TTTTAAAGGTTGATATAAACAACTAATTCACTAATTCACCGATAAACAACATAGCATGATGAAAAAAAGACCCAAACTTAATAAAGAAAAAAGTTTTATCATCAAAATGTTTATATCATTATTAAGAGGAAAGACCAAAGTATTTTTCAATTATTTTTAAAAAATTTTTCATCCTTTCTAACACGTTCGGGATTTTCGTTAAAATATTTTTTTTTTAATTTTTTTTTTTTACGTCAGCGGTCAGGTAATATTTACCATTAGTTTTTTTAGCGCCGTTTTTCAGTTGAAAAACACATTAATTTGGAAATTCTTGCAAAAAATCAAATTGTCAGTTTTTAATGAAACTTTCAGAACTTATTCACAAATGAATGTAATTATTTTAGAAATGTTTGTTTATTAGAAAGTCATGGTAAAAATATTTTTTTTACATTTGTTACCCACTTCCCACCTTATTTTAATTTTATGAAAACTCGAAAATTCGACGTTGTGCCCTTTAGTAATCATATCAGATAAAAGCAGAAGATTTTGAAGAATATAAATCATCGATTTCTGTTTTTTTTTTTTTTTTTTTTTTGTAAATCGAAACGCGTAACTACCAAAATTCAGCTCTGAATTGTAAAATACAAAACTCAATAAAACTAAGACATTATTTAATTAGAAAAGCTTTTAATGGCTTTTATGAATAATATATGTTAAGGACACTATTTTTCGAAGTCAAAATATTTTTCTGATGAAAAATGAATATTTACTTGAATTGTTTTCTCTTTTTTCAATTTTAAATACAAAATCTGATAAAGTTGTTAAATATTTTAAAATTAAGTTTGTCTTTTTGGAAATGCTGTTATTAAAAATATCTATTTTTACAGATCATAAATTTGAAAGCTTAATCGATACGAAAATATTTTTAAAATATTCTTAATATGCACCCCCAACAAAAAATCAATGTCTTAAAAACGTTTTCACCAAAACTATGGATGCACTTTGATGTGGTGTACTATGTTTAGCAGGCTTCTCTTGCTAGATAAATTATAACTGAATTGTGAGTTCGATCCTCACTGAGTGCTCCATACTTTCGGCTTTGAGCTACATCTAAGCTACGCTTCTATATGTGTTTACTATAAAGTCAATAAAGAAATGGTAACAAAAAAAGAACAAATACTTATAATCAGAAAGGATGGCTTGGGAAACTTAATCCACAAAGGGCAAGCTTCTACTCCAATAGCTTCATATCTCGCACCTCTCGCCTGTGGAACTCCCTTCCCTATTCCTGTTTCCCTGAGGAGAGCTATAATCTCCAACTATTCAAATGTAATGTCAATCGACATCTCCAGTTGCCTTAATCTATCCACTATCCTTCTCCTCATATTCCTCTATTACTCCTATCTGATCTTGCTCCAAATCTTCTGTAACCCCTTGCGTCCTAGTGGCTTCCCGCCTTGCTTGGGGTGAAACGCTTAAAAAAAAAAAAAAAAAAAAAAAGAGAGAGAGAGAGGGAAACATGGGAAGGCAGCGAGTCACTAACCTGACGAGCTTATGGATGGCGGGATGGGAGCCTTAGCAAAAAAAAACAAAAAAAAAAAAAAAAAAACAAGAAAAAAAAGACTGCTAAGAGCTATAAGGGATAGGAAGTTGTGGGGAGCTATGAACGTCTATCTCTAGAAGGGATACGACACGTAGAAAAAGAAGCCAGTCCACCAGGAGCCGACAATAACTTTTGCCCCATAAGAATCTCCCCGAAAAGACCAAGTGACCACGACGACTGAAGAATACCAAATTGTCAACGTGACACTTCCTTTACCCTTTATGACAAGCCGGCGGCGAAACATCAAACGACCCGCTAACGACAACAACAGCTGCAAACTGAGTTAGAATATCTATGTCATTGTATAATTATTTTTTTTTAAATCAAACTTTCCAACGAATTCTCTTCTCACGAACTGTAAATACAAGATATTTTTAATATTACAAACTTTAAGCTTTCTCCTCTTCAATATGAAGTGACCCTTCAGGACGTCGGAGATCATGGCTCTCCACAATTTCCTGTCCTTTGTAGTTCTTAAATGTTGTGCTTTTGTTATCTATCCTTAAACTTGTTCCGCCATCCATTTACTCACTCTCGCTAGGTAGGTTAAGCGTTGTTTTCCTCTGCCCCTCTTGCCTTCAGTTTGTCTTGTGAATATCAAATTTTCCAAGCCCTCTTTCCTCATTATGTGCCCTATAATTTTCAAAAGTCTCTTCCTAATGTAAAGTATAAGTGACATTTTTGTTTCCATTTTCTCTAAAATTTCGTCGTTGCTCACACGGTATTCTTAGCATCCCTTTGCGAGTTCATATTTCTGTTTCTTCTTCATCTGTGAAGAGATTGTCCAGTATTCACTGCCATATAGGAAAACTGATATTACATATCTGAGTGCTCTCTACTTTGTTTTAAACGAAATTTTTTACTGTCTCTTAATACTGTGCTTAGCTTTTGGAAGGCATTTTTCCCTATCCCAATGCACATTTCGGATTTCAGTGTTCCTTTTGCTAACAACCGTATATTCTGTCTTCTTGCAATTGATAGTTTGTTCTTTTCTTCTCGCTTTCTTCACTGTTTTCTGTAGAAGTTTTTATAGTAGTTTCCTTTCTGTGTCTGCTATCAATACCGTGTCATCTGCATATCTTATGTTGTTAAGATTGTGGCTGCCAATAATAAATCCTGGTAGGACTTCTAATATCACCTAACTTGTATACTAGCTCCTCAGAGTCGTAGGGGTATCACATGTACTGCAGTCTCAGTAGAAGTTGTGTTTCCTAGGCAACATATCCTGACGAAACTCAACTCTCTCCAAACTGGTTTGAAATCAGAATTTTCTGTCTCCTAGAGAGGTCTCCACCCAAGGCTATAGAATCCAGCCTGTCCTGTTTGTAGCGGGCCCCTCTAGAGTGGGGGGCGATATAATATGGCCTGTGCGTCCCCCAAAAAGATAGTCACAGGACACCCGCTAACGTTTATAAATTAAAGATGTGAAATCTAACAGGTGAAATAAAAATGGACAACAGAACGAGGATATTTAAAAAGAAATATATATATATATATACAAAAATGTATTTCTATCACATCTATGTGTTTGGATTAAAGGAACATGAACAAACAATGAATCAAGTAATGGAGGCAGAAGTAAGTAAATTATGGAATACTGACCGACTACAAGATCTAGATAATATAACTGTGACTAAATTTTAAAAGTAGAGTCCATGTAAGTTCACTTGGCATGTAAGCCCACAGTTCGAAAATTCAGTTCACATGTCCGGCGAAAGTGTTGAAAAGTCTAATGATGGAACTTCTGTAGTATTTTAACGGAAGTGTACGGAGTAGGTTATTTACCCAGAATGCACATTTTGGTTGTCATAATCACAAATCTTAGGCAGTTGTTCTCTCCAGCCTTCTCCAGGGGTTTCTTTACCTAATCGGTCATATTATTGGAATTTGTAACCAAACCCTTTACAGATTGTATAGATCGTTCTCCTTCTATTATCTTTGATTAAAGGACGTTTCAGATAAGTTAACACACGCCAGCCTTATTCACCTATGTGTCGCCTATCCACGTCTTTCACTGAACAAGACTAGACTTTTCAGCTTAGTAAAAGAAACGAGTAAGTAACATATTCGATTAGTACAAAGACGGGATTTTTAAAAACACCAGAGTGTGCAACGTTGTACGTATAACAACCAAAATGTGTATGCACATTCTAATAGTAAAGCATATGATTACCAAGATTTTATTCTTCAAGATGTACACATGCAAAATAACATATAAACATTCCCCAAAGTAAGCCTCGTATAATGTACGATTTGCATTTTTTTAGACATTTTCATGATAGACATTTATTAATTTAAAAGTACAAAACTCTAATCTCCTTTAAATTCTGACTTCAGTGTACTTGCAGTAGCGATCCAGCAACTTTGTGAAGGCTCGAATGAATTGAATATTGCTATCACATCTGGTCTGGTGATTCTGTTATATATCTCAAGATTCTTGAGAAAATCCATAGAAGAATCCATAGAAGAATCCATAAAATCATCAGTTTTCATTTGACTTCTAGGCTTCAGTTACTTTCTCACAACGTTAACGCAGTTTACCGTTTTCGTTTCCATAAATATTTCCATGGCAACTATTCTAATGAACTTGATTCTTTGGTACCACGACCTCTTGAATTTAAGCGTAGTAGTAAATTGGCAACTAGGTTTTTTCATTTTACTATAGCTACATGTAAGTTCTGTTCTAACATTTTCTTCTCTTGCCCTTCTATCTTGTGGAAATTTCTCTTGGTTCCATGTTTCCCGTCACCTACGATCTTCAAAAATTTAATTTCAGCACCAATTGCCATCTTCTGTCATCCCGAGTCTTATTCTTTTATTGTTATTTCTTCTTACTGACGTTTTCTCATTTTCTTTCACTCTAAGCAACACCTTGCATCTTAGTGGCATTATCACCATGCTGTGTTTGAAGTGAGAAAAAATAGGGAGTTTTGAATAAAACAAATGTGCTTTTGAAGCGATGGAGTGCAAATAGAAGGTCTGTATATATATATGGATGAATAAAAGTGGTTTCACATACATAGAGAGAAAGGAATCAATTAAAATTTCACTTGATGTATTTTTTGTCAGTGTGATGAAAAAGTGAGTAGGCGATTGGCAAACGTTTATTTGAAGTCGTCTTGTAAGCGGATCTTTCTGAAGTGAATTCTACTGAATTTTGTGTTGCCAATTTTAATTTTCTTTTCTTTCAGAGACTCCGAGCTTAGAACGCTTGAAAACTAGAATAGATTGATCTGATTTGTTTATTATTCTCGCTCTTCATCACGTGGTGTGGTTTTCTACGACGTCCGCAGCGAAAACGATTTCGAAAATTAACAATATCATGGGCTTTAGCGACATTTCGTGTGGGAATGGGTGTATGTAGCCCACAAAAGACTTTATATCTAATGAATGTTATTTTCTTATGAAGTACACATAGCTTGTCCCCATACGGTCACCGAAGTTAAGCAACGCCGAGCCTGATCAGTACCTAGGTGAGTGACAGCTCGGGAATACCAAGTGCTGCAAAAAACTTGAATATGCAAGTGGTGTAACGAATAATGGTTCTGAATTGTTAATCGGAGAGCCGAGTTCCAATTCCCATTAGATTCGTTATATTAATTTACGCTTAGGAAAGGTGTGAATCCACCTCTTCTTCCCCCGTCCAACTATGGGTTAATTACTAATACTTGCATCAGTAAATCATTATTTTTACCCCCAAAATTCTTACAATATATATAAGTATTTCTGATTTTAAATAACCTGTAAAGGGTTAATAAGCCGTAGAAATCGAATTAATCAACCAATTAAAGCTTGTTGCTTTTGTAGAATGTGTAACTAATATTAACATTTTATAGGTAAGTATTTTACGAACATTTCAGCATTTTATTTATGATAAAACCTTATATCATATTTCATTAAGAATAGAAATGAAAAAATAAACTTCCTTGTGTATATTTTCCGTGGTGTCTTTTCGCGCCATTTTTAAGAGTCTTTTTTTGCGTGTCGTGAATTAAAAACGTAATAGCGCGTTCTGTGTTTCTTTTTTTTTAAATTAATAGTTTATGTGAAGCCAAAGTAAATGATAATCATAAAGAGTTGTGATGTTCTTGTTATAAAGCTTTTCGTCTTGTTAAACACAAAGTGAACCTGCAAATAGTATGATTAGAGAAAATACTATTAATAAACTTTATTAGCATTTAATGTGCCCAGAAATGGAAGTTAGAAAAGCCAAATTGCGGAAAAAACCGCATTTAACTGAACAAGATCATCGCGAAGAAAGATACAGTTATAAAAACACGGAAGTTGTGTATGTTTTGCTGCACGAAAGTTTTTACAATTAGAGTTTCTTTTATTCCAATTATTTCTTTGCTTTGCTTTTATGCAAATATCTTGAGGTAAGCACGAGGGATAAATGCAATTGTTATGTTTTAGTACACGGAGAAGATGTGTAACACTCTCACAGCAGTATTCCAAAGAAGAATTCTGGCAACAGAGATGAAATACTACAGGATGATCTCATCTATCTCATAAAATGAACATGTGACAAAGGAAGAGGCTGACACGAAGATTCATAGAGCAAGTGTGTCTTAGATGATCTCTTAATGAACATGAGGTTCGCTTGTCAGTCTAACCATCTTTCTACTTTACATAAATTATCTGCCTAAGAGTATACACCGTTCATTTATGAATACTTATGCTGATGATACAGCAGTATATGGGTGCATCTCCAAAACTCTAGTTAGGTGGCCAGGGCTTATCAGCTAATCTCTCATCTGACCTAGCTCTAACAGCTCAGTGGGGGGGGGCTCCTGGTAACATTCAATGCCTCGAAAACAAATCTAGTTCCATCATCACCAAGTGGGCCCAGAACTTTCACCGATCACGATGAACGAGCGCCTATTGAGATTTAAACACAACCCAGATCTCAAGTAGAGGTCGTACATACGATCCATCGCTAACGATGCTGGAAAAATGGTCGGTTCCCTGTACCGCTCCAGTAAGTAACTGACTCCTCCTGCTATCTTCTACCTTTACAAGAAATGGAGTACTGCTGCCATATATGGACAGGAGCTGCCAAATTTTCAGTTTACAGTCTCGATGGAGTCCAAAAAGCGTCTTCGCGTCCTTGTGGGTGACGAATTATTTTCCACCCTACAACCCCTTTCCTCACAGACGAACATTGAACAAGTGTATCTTAAAATGATTTTCTCACAATTGTAAAAAATGATACGGCCATTTTGCAAGAAAGTTTCAGAAACACGCAGACTAGGAAGACATACATAGACTATACAGGAATAAAAAGACACAAACCTAGCAGAGTCTCAGAGAACGGTGGATAATAGAAAGGTATGAGGAAGAGTGGTTCCCATGTATTCACTGGTGCTATAACGACATTAAATGAAGTCAAGGTCAGAAGACACGTTACGGAATAGCATAACCAAGTCAGTATATGTCAACGAGCGTTGACCTTGACTTGGTCATGGAACATATACACGCATATATAGAAGCGATCAGTGTTGACATTCACCTTAGTATTCGTGTTCATTTCTTTCTCTGCGTTGGGATGAAGTCGGGAGTAGTCAAACGAATTTTAAAATATGACATTTTGTCGCCGATTCAACGTCTAAAAAGAATAAAGTTGCGTCTTTTATACAATCATTATTACTCCTGCAAACTAGGGCATTAATGTTTCGCCGGCGTTGCCCCCTATGGGATACAGGAATAAAAAATATGTGACAATTTTATTGCAAATTATAGTCTAGTTATAGTTTATATAACAATTGTTGCCTTGAAAATTTTTTAATGAACTTGTGTTCGTCTTGTCTTGTCGAATTTGGGGTCTGCCATCGTCCGTCAATCGCCGAAATAGCTTATAGGCTATGAAGTCTTTGGAGCACGTGATCTCTTTGAGACTTACGGGCGGAGCATTTGCAGTTTACCAACAACTAGATGGCAAAGCAAAATCCGACATTGGCCAGATAAAGACTGCCTTAGTTACAGAACTTTTTACTGATACATGTTTTAGGTTATACTCACAAAGGTATAATTTCCACTATGTACAACTCGAAAAAAAAAATTAAGGTATAATTTCTACATGGTATCACTCACAAAAAGGTATAATTTTTAGCAGATACCACTCAAAAAATGTAGGTATAATTTCTAATAGGTACCACTCAGAAAAAAATCAAAGTATAATTTCTTGTAGGTACCACTCACAAAACAATCAAGGTAAACTTTCTAGTAAGTACCATTAAAAAAAATCACAAGGTATAATTTTTTGGTTGTACCACTCACAAAAAATCCAGGTAAAATTTTTAGTAGGTACCACTCACAAAAATCAAAGTATAATCTCTAGTAGGTACCAATCACAAAATAAATGATTGTATAATTCTAGTAGGTACCACTCACAAAAAAGGTATAATTTCTAGTAGGTGCTACTAAAAAAGTCAATGTATAATCTCTAGTTGGTGCCACGCACAAAAAAATCAAGGTATAATTTCTACTAGATAGCACTCACAAAAAACACGGTATAATTTCTAGTAGGGACTATTCACAAAAAAATAAGGTATAATTTGTAGTAGTTACCATTCACAAAAAACGGTATAATTTCCAGTAGGTACCTCTTATAAAAATCATTTTATAATTTTTAGTGGTTACTACTGACAAAAAAAAATGTATAAGTTCTAGTTGGTGCTACTCACAAAAAATCAAGGTAAAATTTTTTAGTAGGCACCACTCACAAAAAATGAAGGTAAATTTATAGTAGTTAATACTCACGAAAAAAAAACAAGGTATAATATCCTTTTGCGTTTCATTTAGCTTCGTGTGGCCCTCCTAATATTGTAACAAATCAATCCGTCTACTCTGCTATATCATATTTGAAAAGTACTATTAAATAAGCAGTTGCTGATCTAGGTTTAAAATAGCAATATATCATGGGGAAAAAACAAGCATTACTATTGACACTTAATAATTTAAAATTTAATCGTGATATAACTTGACGACGCAACATAATCTATCCTTGGGACCATCCAGGCTGTAACTTCTGATAATGTAACCAAGCAACTAAAATAATTAACTCTGGGATCACGGTGGTTGGCCTGAATGATTAGGAGTTCTAAATACACCGATGAGCCCAAACATTATGGTCACCTTGTTATATACTACAAAACGTTTCTTAACCGAAAATTAGGTTAGGTTAGGTTTGGTTTGGTTTGGTTTACGGCATATCAACCTCAATGGTTTATTTAATGCTAACAAAATTTTTATTGCTGGTAATGTTTTTCTTCAAAAATCTATTTCTGGGAATATTTTTCCTTGAAGAAATCTATAGCTGGTAATATTTTTTTCAAAGAATGTATAGCTGTTTGTACTGCTGGTACTTTTTTTTAAAAGTATTGCGGATAATAATTTTTCCTCCAAAAATTATTGCTGGTAATATTTTTTAAATATTTTTAGTTTATCGTCTTACCCAGGGCGCGGATGTAGTTTAAAAAATTCGGTATGGACGCTACAAGACTTCAAAATGTTCTTTTAATTTCATGGTAGAATTTCCGGAGAAGGTAGGTGTTGACCCAACATATGCTATACACAGTTCACAGTCAACCTGGAAAACAGGGAAACAATAGAATTATCAGGAAATTGAAAAATAGTCATTTTTTAACATAAAATCAGGGAATTATCAAGGAATTTTGGTTTAACAATCGCCAGAGAATTTTCTAATGCAATTTAAAATGCATTGACTAACATGTTTATTATATGCTTCTTTTCGATTGAAAATTGCTTGAAAATAAATTCTAAATGTCATTTAAGGTTTATATATTTGTTTTCTAGGATTAATAAAATGTTAATAATGCATTTCATTGTCTATTGATCTTTTAATCTGTATTCCAGCACATTACTAATGTCACGCGATATACCAAAATGAGGAAATTTCAGAGGAAATTTTCGCTGAATTATCACGAAATTCTGTTTAATCTATAGACTGGGAACATTTCATAGATAATCAGGGCAATTGATAATTTGGGGACAAAGAGAATATAGTGAAGTTTTCTTTACATTCCTGAAACCATTCTACACAACTTATTCATTGTCCTACTAAACGATATCACTTCCATTATGAAGAGATGTATCTGGTTTTCAATGATGTGATATATATCTTCCAAACGAAGGTTAAACCTCTGTGTTTCTCAGTAGAACTTTACCCAACATATCATACTTCATCTACTGGCTTGTTGCCTTCTTACAATAAATTCTGCTGTCATCGCTTCCTCACGATAATGACGCATACGTACAGAAGAAAGCGAGACTCATTGGAGGGGGTTAAGCTTCTTCCATTGAGACAATATCCAGTAAACTTACGGAATGCACATTTGCTTGTATGGCTACAGTGTCGTCTGCGGCTACACAGTTTCATTCTAAACAAGGATCAATGTAAAGAGTGTTGTAACGTATTTTTCTTTTCACATTGTTTAAAGCTACTTATAATTTATATTAGAGTCAACAGTCAATCGTTATCTATCTT